GGGGCATCCTCCGGAGGGGGAGGTGGAGTAGGCGGAGAAGGAGGAGGGAAACCTGCCTCTCCGGAGGGACGAGGGCGCCGCGCCGCAGAGGGCCAGCCCGGCGGCGCGGGCTGCGGGCACATGCCGGGCTCGGAGCATCGGAGCCGGCGGGTTCCCTGCGGGCGGCTCAGCCCCGCTCCCAGCCCTGCCCCTGCAACAGCGCCCGCGGGGCTCCTGCAGAGAGAAGAGCTCACCTACCGCTCCCTTCCCTGAGTGCGATAATCCGACAGCAAGCAAACCTGGTAGTAAGTACTTGTCATCTTTTATGTGCGATTTGCTATAGTTTTATTGTTCTCTCTTGGCAGGTAGCAAAGGATTGTTAAGAACAAGCATTTATAGGCTAGGCTGTAGTGATCATCTCTTTGGCTCTCCCTTGGACTTCTGAGCCTTTCAAATAGAAGGGTGCATATGTGGAGGCACGTGTAGAAATGTTCCTTCACTGCACGGCTACATCTTTCATGTTTCAGACAAAATGTATGTGTTAGTTATTTGGTTTTTTGGGTTTGTTTGTTTGTTTTATCTTCTGCTGTTCTCAAAGTAGTTTGTACCACACACTTAGGGTCTCAGAGAAGGATAAACCCTGGTGACACCACTTAAACATATAGCATGAGGATGGGGAAAAGAGATGCTTAAAATCACTAACTAAGAGGAGGTGAAATCACTTCTCTGCATGATGCCTTCATGCTAGGGAGCAATATGCTTTTTGGGATTCTTTGCCATTTAAATCTTCTTTCCTATATGTGCACATCTGGACTCTGGCCTGGCACCATTCCCTGCACTTGGACTGGAAGGGAGTGGCATGGCAAACTAGCAGGGACTGGAGACCAGTGACCAAAAGACAATCCTTCCCTTCTTTTACAGTTTAAAGATACTTTTTAGCCCCAGCTTTGTCTTCTGCAGAGTAATACTTCTGCCAGAGTCAGGAAGCGGACTCAAGTGTTTTAAAGCCTAGATTATGCCCCCTGCAAAGGGAATGGCTGAGAGGGTAAGTGCAAATAACCTGGTCCCACACACCTTACTCCTGAGGGTTTCCAAGCATTGAACCCTATGGAGGGTGAGCAGAGAGTTACATGACGTGCAGAAGGTGTGTTCCCCACTAAAACTTTCCAAAATGATCCCACCTCTCGGGGGAGTGCTGTAAATACCATTTCTGTCAGTGAAGCTGTAAGGGAAGGAGCAATTTCTCTCACATTTTAAATACCAAACAGAACAACTATCTCCATCCCCTTATTTCCTGCACACATGTCTTTATTTTTTTTTTCCTAATGACTTGCATTATTATTCACCAAATATGGTATGTGTCTTCCTGTGCCACTTTATATTTGCTGAGATGTTTCTGGAACTAGGCTCTAAGAGCATGTTTTAGGACCCTTCTGTTTTTAAACCAGAATTGTATTTACTAATAACTGTCAGATGACACAAATAGTTAATTTTCATCTGGCATGTATCCACAGCATTTTGTTTCCTCAAATGATTCTACTCTTCTGTAGCTAGTCGCTATGCGCACTGTAGTTTGTAATGCAGTTAGTTCTCATTATAACACATTTCCTTATTACACCTATGTTACACTCGTCCTTAGCATTTTTCATTCTAACCCTACAGGACAAGTGTGTTAACTCCAGCAGTAGCTGGAGTGACTGTTGGTTGTAGTAGGAGAATGTTTGCCACCAGAGGACCAGCCACTAGAAGGATAGGCAGCATGTCCTGTGCTGGAGTGTGTGATGTATTAATGCTATTTAACCTTTTCAGAGAGACATGAGCAGAATGAAAATGCCTGGTTTAATACACATCACAGCTAGAATTTTATATAAATGTGGGAGGCTCACACTAGTTAATATCACTGACCCAATTTTTATTGGCCTTGTAGGGAAATCTTAAAAGGGCTGATGCAAAGAAAGTAGAAATCTGATACTTTGCTGTTGCAAGCATCTCTCCTAGCTTTAGTTGCCTGGCTACATGGTGCAAAGGAAGATGAAGGAAATAAATCAGTGAAGTTTTGTTGGTTTGCTTGTGTAATGCTGAAAGGGAATTTATAAAGTCTGAAGCAAGAAGTGATTACGTATTGTCATTGGCTTAAGTTAAATGTAAGAGATGCATGATTTTTCACCAGTTTTCGGTCTGTTTTGTGTTCTCCCTGACTCCTTTAAGATCATTAGGACTTCCTCTGGGCGATGATCCTATTTTTACAGTCAATCAAAATCCATACCAATATCCTTACACAGGCCAAATACACTGTATTAGAAAGACTATAAACCAACAGCTACAAATTACTTTCAGAGACTTCCTTAAACAAAATGCAGATGTAAATAGAGTTCAGACTGGCTCCAAATGCTGCGCTTTAAAGTTGTGGATGTCTAAATCCGGAAAGTGTGCTCAGAAGCTCTGTTTGAGAGCCATGTAGGGAGATGGCTGAAGTTTTTGGTTAGACTGAAGAACTGGGAGCCATAGTCTGTGGTTGTTGGACTCTTCTACGTAGTTTGGGTTCAGGCCTGAGCATGGACTGGCCTGGAAGGGATCCTGGACTGTTTCATCCTATTTTTGCAGAAAGACTCCTTCATAAACTTGTCAAGTTCATACTAAAACATGCTGCAGTTGCTTACTTTTGCTGTGTTTAGAAAAGTTTGATAGCTTTTCCAAACTTCACTCCACAGGCAGGAGTTAGGAGGTAACAAAAGTAAACTTCTTCCCCTCACCCCTCCTTGGCTCGTTAATAGCCTCATCTCTGATGCTGAATTATTCATTTTTAACCTCCAACTGGAAAGTAGGATCTCCTTTCTCTCATTGCTCTAGAAACATGTTGCTACACCTGTTACAGCAGACTTTTAAAACTTTTTCTGAGCCTGAATGACAACAGTGGCATCCACTGTTCCAGACGGGATTTTAGCAAGCCCTCTACAGCTGCCTTCAGCCCCTTCACTGATGGAAATGCTTCCACGATGTACATTAGAATTACATATGCTGTTTGGATTTCAGCACTGCATGCAGAAAAAGTATGATTAATCTATAGTGCTGAAAAGGGTTCATTAGTGAAGCCAGATGGATCCAGGTAGGATGGACTCTGGACTTTTAAAGCTGTGATAAATTTTTTTTAAATGTCATCTATGTTGTCTGTGATTACAGTATGGGTTTTGCTAAAATCTGGGTATTTCCTGAGCAATTGTAAAGGGTCTGTTGAATGTGCTACAGCAAGGTCTGTCTCTAGTAATGTCTTCATTAAGCCTCTCTACAAACAGAAGAGTAAACTAATTGCCAGACTAATACATCGTTTGGCTCTGTGAACAAGCTACTGAATGCTGACTTAGAATGGAAACATAAAAGGATCATTTACAACCTGCTACATGAAAGAAATACCAAAATTAAATGAAAATACATTTGTACTTCTGTGGTTGTTGCTGTTGCCATCAAAGCTGATAGAAAATTCCAGTTTAATTTTCCTGGGAATATTAACTAATTTCATAAACATTTTTGCCTCTCAAGTTTCAGCAGCTGCACCCTATATAAAAGCTAGAAATAGCTGGTTCTCCTTTAGTAGGAATGAAAGGGGAATTGAGCTCTATAGAAATGAGGAGATTAGAGCTCCATGAGGCATATACTCATTTAATGCTGCTGGAAACCAAACCCACTCGAATAATCTTAACTCTCACTTCTGGTGAGCAGAAATTCTAGGGGAAAAAAAATTCCCTTAGTGACTTATTAACAAAGGCTTTTCAGGTTTACTGGGATTTATCATGTGAGCCTAATCTACCTTTTGTTCATCCAGTTGGCAGGGTTTAAGATTTAAAAGGGTCTGCAGAAACTCCTCCCCCAAACTCCTTATTTAATTAAGAGGCTTGGTGCATTATTTACCTTTGAGTCTTCCATTTATGTTGGAACAATGAGTTGCGGTTAATATATTGTAAAATATTTGTGAATGCTATATTGTAAGCAGAGACAGGGATAAAAACAGAAACTCTGGCTATACCTTCAAATGTACACTGACCTATATGGGGTCACTCAGAATGTCTGGAAGTGAGGCCACTCCTCCATAAATACTGAAGTCTCGATACAGGTGTGTAACTCTACAACAAATTTCTCTGCCTGTGTAGGTGATTAAAGAGCCTGGAAGCAACTCAGTCTTCATTTGCTTCTATGGGAGCTCTCCAGAGTCATGAGTGTGCAGATAGATGCTTTGCACATACCTCTGTTTCACATATTTTGCTTTAGTTGTTCAGCAAAGACAGACTGGTAGCTGTGGTTCTCTCACTGGTTCCCCCAGTTTCTTCTCCTCCCCCACTCCATTCATTGCTGTAAGCATCAAGTTGCAGATAGAACGATTTCTGAGAGAGCAATGGGATGTAGATCCTGCCAAAGGCAATTAAGTGCTTAGGATTACAGTGTGCTTTACAAAGTGTGCTCTTGCTGAATCCCTTTCCTCTTCTGCTTGCTGGCACAAAGCAGTTTCTTGGCACTTACCTTTGTTATAACACATCTGAGCACTGCTAAACTTCACTACAGTGTGTCAGATCTCTAAATAAGTCTAACAAGCTGCAGTGTCCTTTGTTCTGAGAACAGTCTTGGTGGTGGTTCTTCGGTTAGAGTCAGCTTGACCTCATCACCTCTGCTGTAATTGGATTAAATTCACTCACTGGCCAAAAACATGGCCAGCTGATGGCATATTAATTATTCAGACTGAATAATTTTTGTATGCACAGGATTCTTGGTGCCAAAGGCATTTTTAGGGCTTGTGATGCAGCTGATGTGCCATAGTATACAGAATTGTCACCAAGAGATGTTTTCAGTTATTTTCTTTATCAAGAAAGGATTAAACCAGACCATCCATTGTGTTTGAAAGTAGAAGATATAATCTGTGGGGGAAGGAAGAGATGCTCTAGTTGCCAGTCATATGCATCACTTGCTGCTTCTTCTTGAGGAAATGTGGTAAATTGCTGAGATTCCACAGGTGGTCTGAAGCTGCAGACCTCCTGGCTGAGGAAAGTGAGTGATGGGGTGTGTTGTTTTACACACCCACTGCAGTTTATTTCTAATTGTTGCACAGCAGGTTAAGACCATTGCTCTGAGTTGTCTTTTTACTGCTTCTGTTATTCTTCAGTTGCCTTGAGATCCTGGGGTGTTTGCAGAGCAATAGGATGATATCTGAACAGAAAGATGTACCCAAAATGATACCAGAACTATGTAAAAGGGTAATCTGACTGCCAAGCCTGTAGTTTCATCCCAAAACCTTTTATATACCATCTAAACCAGTGTA